ACATCACAAATAGCATAGCAAAGCCACTCCAACAGCAGGAGCACCCCAGCTTGGTTAAAAGTGGACTAGTGGTCACGGGTCCAAAGCTTTCAGATGAAGATAAGTTTTGCATGCTAAAGCTGCCACCAAAGAAATCTGGGCATCAAGAACATCTTAGCCGTTCCCAATGAGCTGGCCACACTTGGTCTCCATGCCACCCACCCCACACTGTTCACCACGAGTGAACTTACTTTTATAAAGATTGATGTTTCTGCATTGTAGATAATTTTTGGATTAGTCTGTGAAAATACTCGAATAACTTTGTTAGTAGCTTTAAATTAGGAGGAAATTAAGAGATTTGGGGATAGCCAGAACAACAATATTTATTCATTCAAAATCTCCGTTTCATATGATATGACTGTGGCAAACAGGCACAAACTGGACGGGACTGTCGCAAATGCTGGAAAAAACACTGATAGACAACAAACTTTGTTCAGATAAACTGTATCATCGTGCCATGTATTGTGCTAATGGAGAACACTCTCTTTATTGTGATTTTGAGCTAATGCTCTCAGATTGATGTTACAGATGCTTCTCAGTAGTAAACACATGTATTAGGGATCATTTGTGCCAAGTGCAAGTAATGGATATAGTCTATATTTGTGTATTATAAAATTACTGTTTCACAATATGTACTAGTATCAGCAGGTGAACTAGCATTACAAACTTTGTATTTTTCTTTTCTTTAAATCCAATGTGTATGGCTAATAATATAAAGTATCAGAACCCTATGATTGCATTAAACTGGTCCTTGCTCAAACTTCCTGATTAGCTAAACACAAACACAAACATATGTGTGAGGTAAAACACACAAATATGCCTCGCAGCATCCTGTATAGTGTCCTATATACTTGTCCATTAAATCGTGATTGTTTTGCCAAAAGGAGAAAAAAAAACCCCTAACAGTCATCAACACCTTTAATGATGAGTATGTAAACAGTTTAATTATAACCTCAGCTGTATTCCTGATTGCTCCTCGACGTGAAACAGTTTCTCAGCCAAGTTGAAGTAACCTAAATTCTTTCAGTGCATCATAGGGCCTCAAGCCCCCTGTGATATGAGCCAGAAACCACAATGCAAAACTTGTTTAGAGGCCAGCATATATCTCAACAGAATGCAAATAGAGATAAATATGAAATCCAATCCAGGAGGAGAACACAGCTGGGTTTTATTTGTCAGTGCCTCTTCTTCCAGTTGATCAGGCCGAACGAGCGTTTTTCTTCTTTTCTTCCTTTTCGGTAGGAAAACCTGGTTCAGGAGGAATAGTATTAGCTCGACCTGATCCGACAATAGAGGATCCAGTATAAGCTCATAGTCTTATGTAAGTTGCCTTGCGTTGGTAGTTGTGGTGATGCATTTGTCAAAATATATAAACGACAAAAAAACCCTCTATATAATAAAAAACAAAGAGCTTTGTCTCAGGTCCTGAGCTCAAATAAAATTAACCGCACAAAAAGTTTCCTACCCAAAACACAGCTCAAGTTTCTCATAATCACGTATCCAGAGGAGCGCATCAGAATTAGGAACATTTTATGCCACCCTTAAATCATCTTGTAATGAGCAATAAAATGTACTGTGCTTTGCCTTCAGTCTCACCCAAAATACACAATAAACAGACTTTTCTCTTTGTGCGCACCAGGAAACATGTCTGTTTCTGTAGCTGTTGGCAATATATATATATATATATATATATATATATATATATATACATATGTGTTGTTTTTACATAAGGCGATAGGCTTTCAATTTACACTTCAACCATCTGCACGTTACAGTAAAAATTAAAGAGTCACTCATTGAGCTGAATGCATACGTCTGACTTGTAAGAAGGTAAAGTTTGCAGAATTACCACCTTTGTTCAGGGAGCAATGCTCCTGGATCCCAAGACCCAAACATCCACCGTTCAAAACGTGTCAAACGGTGTGACGGGACAAGACGATCGGCTCTTTGAAGGCGAAACTGTTTAGTGCTGCTCCCAGTGACTATGCTTCAAGATGTGCTAAATGTTTGTTGCGAAGGAGTGAGCTCAGATGTGTACATAAGAGAAGTGTCTCAAGTGGTTGTGGAGTAGAAGAGAGGAGGAGGTTTTAGAGGCAGCTGTGGCTTTTCTTTGTTTAAAACAGACTGCCTTCGTTTCCAGACCTCTCGATGGCCGAATCTTTGGAATTTTCAAATAGATCGAGTACTGCGCTTAATGACGCACAGCAGGAAGAAGTCAAGAAGAATCTAATGGTTGTAAAACATATGGCTCTTAAATCAGCCTATAGCAAGTCTTCAATTAACATGTCAAAAGCTGACTTACTTGCCTGACAAACTGCTACTACAGCTTCTATGGGTTATGGTATAACAAAGTCTCCTCTCAAACATAAAACAATAGGTTATTGCACAGAGTCAGTCTGGCCTTTGAAGTTAAACAGAATGAGACTATCATTGCTTCAGAATCTGACTTTCAGGCTTCCAGTTCAGTAAGACGATGTCCCGTTTTCTATACTTTCTAAATTCTCGCTGTCATAACTAATGGCTGTGAAGATAGCAGCACTATTTATCACTGTCTTTTGCTGCTTACCATGACTATGGTAAATATGACATGAAGTGACACAGGGTGGCTGTAGCTCAGGGGATAGAGCGGGACATGCCAAAAATCCATGGGAAAGATACTAACCCCAAGTTGCTCTCTCCTAACAAATCCATCGTTAGATAGAAAGCACTTACATAGAATAAAAATGCTTGTATGAATGTGTGAATGAGGCGAGTTGTGTAAAGTGCCTTAAGTGCGCAGATAAAATAGAAACGTGCTGCATAAGGACCAGTTTACCCAAGTATCACAAAAAATGTGATGCTCACCCAATGTGACGTAAGCCCGCTGAAACTCAAAGAGTGTTACCAGACCGCACAGACACTAGATAACAATAATAGCAGATAACATGATAAAAATAGACTTTGGCGTATGCTTATTGGAATGCTTTAGCGAGCGAGTTAAACCAAGTAGATTTGTCTTTCACATGCTGGACGCCAAACTTCTAGCCTGCAGTTTGTGAGATATTTCAGATTTTTTTAAACCACCTTTTCAGCAGGACACCCCGCATTGTAGCACACAGTCATAGTCTATGTGCCTCACATTTACTTTGTTGGGATGTGGTCCCCCTGTGTCCACATAAACATTTATGTAATATTTTAGCACACGGTGGATAAACAATCTGAACAATCTGGTCATGCTGATGATTTAAGCCAGCCTAATATGACGTTAACATTTCTCAAGCATGTGTTCAACATTATTCACAAACCTCTCTTTCTTTCGTGCAAGTACTGAAACATCTTAGTGTGGCTGAGACTTCTTGACCCTTCTTTGTAAACGTACTCATACCTGACTGCCTGAGTGATGGGCAGCGTTTTATAAAGATCCACCGAATAACTCTTAACATTGGTGCAGGGACTGCTGAGCTATGTGCTGAGACACACAAGCTTGCTTTGCCAGATCACCTGATATAGTTAGAGATATCTTTCATCACTGTGGTCCTGAGGCCAGAGACCCACTGAAATCACAAATACAGAAGAGTGGAAAGCTTGTCAAAGCCCTGCGATGTGCAGTAGAGAAGCTGGCTAAGTCAATAAATACTTAAACATCTCTCAGTGGCTACATGCAGGGCACACTTGGCCAGTATAGTTCAAGGCTCGACTGTTTATTATCTTCTGTGAAACTATCTGATAAAGACTTTAGCTCTTCTGCTTCCTCGGCTCATATGTTGCCCAAAGGCAGCACACTTGGATTAATAGCAGACCACGTGGAGCCATGTTGAACCACTTTCAGATCATTTAAACAAGACAGGAGAGATGTGAGGTCTCTAAAACTTGAAATAAAAGGGGGAAACATAACAACAATAACTCATTATTAGGATTATAATCCATCAGTAAGTATTAGGTTGAAATATACTAGTGATGATATTGGCTTTCCTCTATTTTAATCAGTTTGTTTCATAACCTGAATTAATGTTCCCATTAGAAAAGCCAGACTCTGATGTTTTGAGGTTTAATTACCAGGCAAAGATTTGCTGCTGCTGTATATTTGTAAACCCTGGAAATGGTTGTGTGGACAATTGAAATACTAAAGGATTGGCAAAGTAACTTCAATCATCATTCTGATGCTCAGTTTGAACTTTAGCAGGTCATCTTGACCATGTCTATGTGCCTAAATGGACTGATTTGCTGCCCTTTGATTGGCTGATAGACACATATTTGCATTAAAAAACACTTTAACAGGTGTACCTAACAAAGTGGTTCGAGAGTGTACACATATTATAGTGTTGGTCTATAAAAAGCATTTACACAGGATGTAAATGTTTACATCAGGATCCTAAAAGTGAAGAATAAGAACAGAATCTGTGATAGCGCTGCACACCACCACAAGTGTTCACATAGTTTGAAAACCTTTATCCCATTTTTCTCATGTAAAGTATTATCAAAGAATTTAATCTCTTGTTGCTGTTCAGATGCAAAATATTGAAGCTGACCATGTGAAAGACCAGATTCATGAAAAGAAAACCGTCTGAAGCGTAAAATGCAATATCCTGGGAAAACACATCATAAAAGTTTAATGTATTTGTTGCAAAAATGCCTTTAAAGAGCTGTTTTATTATTGCCCCACCACAAGAATCCTGTCTTTATTACTGGTTCATGTCACTAATTCTCAGTTACAGTGACGAAAAAACATTTTTATCACTGGAAATGAGGAAATACGTACACATGCAAATCAAATTATCCTAAAGAAACTCGGTAGCACAAAAAAGCCCAAGAGAAACTTTTTTATTACAAATTATTTACTTACAAATGTTTTAGATTAGATTATACATTTCTCTGAAAATTATACCTAAAGTTCTGTTTATTAACAGGGTGGCCAAAGTTTACAGACAGCACACAGAAACAATCATGAATATATATCATGAGAAAATGACAAAAATCTGGAGCTGGTTCAGGAATAGAGACAGCAGAAACAGTATAATCTGTATAAACTTCATACCAGTGAGGAATTCCTGAACTGCATTTTGGTTTTGAGAGATAGCTGCACTAACCCAGTCTTTCTTTTAGCCTTAAAAGTATTAAAGTATTAAATTGAAGGAATAAAATGTATTCTTTTTCTCACTGGGATTTATTGAGAGATTATATGAAAAGGGGAGGCAAAAAGGCCTGGATTCAAAATACCATTTTTTATTATTCCAGGAAGCAGCTAACATAGCTAACCGCAGAAAAATATTGCCTTTCTTTGGTTATTAAAGTTAAATCAACCATGAAAAAGTTTCCATTTAGAAGCTGCAACCAACTGCAATAACAAAGTGTTTCATTTTCTGCTCATATACAGGTTTACAATAAAACATTCGGTAATTAATTGCTGACTAGAACATCTGCTCTTTTTCAGACGTGTACATAACAAGAATATAATGCAAGACAGGTTTCAGTCCGGGTTTTCCAGATATTAATTTAGTATTTTTACTGAAGTGAGTTACGATTTTGCCCGGAATGCAAACCACTACAATAACTTCAATAGGATATTATTGTGTTGTATTACTGTATCACCCCTTAAAACCCTACAAGTGGACAATGAGACTATTATGGAAATGATACCAGGAATATATCTGAATATCAGCAAAATCACAACCAAACTGTGCAGTGTCTCCTAAAAAATCTTCAAAAGGTGAATCGTAAATGAAAGTGATGTCACTTAAAATTTTTGGCTATACCTGTATTTCTGCCTCTAAAAGACTAGCAGTGAGGGGTCCTGATTCAAGTCTGATCCCCCCAACTCCAGTGTCTGAGACAACTGGTGAGGCACTGGGGGTCCTTATAGTGAGCGAAGACAGTGATGGGGAGAAATTAGGTGTCATAGCTGAAGGGGTAAGTCCAGTGTTCCTGGCTAAGGGGGAATAAGCATATTTCCGGTAAGAGGGTCGTCTGACGATGCTTGGCACACGCCCTGGCTTTCGTGGAGGAACGGTCCTTATGCCCTGCTGTGCTACCCCTGTTATAAGAGGTGGTGGGTACATGAGACAACTCGATTCTGCTGCTAAGTCCTCACGGCCACCTTCAAGTTCCTCATCAGGGAGCATCCCAATATCAGTAAATACGGAGGCTAGAGTCTGGAAACGGGGTTCCCAGTCCAAAAGGTAGTCCCAGCAGTAGCTACCTTGCAACTCCTCGTCTAGAAACACCAGCGAGGAGAGAGAATCTGCAGAAGCCTGGGCTTCAGAAAGGGGGGCGAACCCTTTTATCCCCATGTTCTCCTTTAAATCTCTCATCCTGAGTATTCCAGGAAGTAGTCCCTCGCCGCCTCCTTCCTCTTTGAAGTGGTAGAGACTTTCTGTGCTGGCTATCCCTGAGACTAAACATTTATTGACTGATAAGATGTGCTCTGGTCCTACATCGATGGAACTGCAAGAGATATTATCTCCTAGTAAGGCAGAGTCTGGGATCTCTGTGGACTTCTGGGCAGATTCGTTTCTTTTACGGCAGGGGTATTCGTTGATCCACTTGATCTCCTGGTCCTCGGCTGTCTCGCCTTCCGCTGAACCTCGCCCGCTCGAGTCTGATGGATTATATGGGTTTGAGATGTCCATTTTAGTCACCATGATGCTTGGGCGTGTAATGTCATGCAAAGACATGGAACTTTGTGTTTTGTTATTATGTCTCGTGAGCGAGCTTGTGCCATGGCTCAAGTGTGTAGCAATGGCAGCAGCCTTTCTGATGGCTGCATCTTTGAGCTTACATCTGAGAACCAAGCTCACAAAAAGGATAAGCAGAAAGAGAAACATGATTAATGAAACAGTCAAACTGAGCATATGAGTATCCAGGGGGACTCCAGTTAGTGCTTCAGCTGAACTAGAGATATTGACAAAAACCAGGCAGGTTGTAGTCCTGGAGCCTAATCTGGGACTAGCTGCAGAAACAACCAGTTCTACCATGTCCTGGCTGCCTGCCCTATGATACACAGGACCAGAGACAAAGATAGCCCCAATTGTTCTGTTAATGGAGAAAAAAGGTGATGAATTCACAAGTGAGTACTCCACCACCCCGTCCACACCTCCATCATGGTCCATTGCCATCACATAACCGACCGTATCACCAGGCTTGACGTTTTCTGGCAACAGAAAGTGATAGAGCTTCTGGGTAAAGACCGGACTAAATTCATCCACTCCCTTGATATTTACTTGGACTCTCACTGTAGCAGCTTTGTCACCTTTATCTCTGGCTTCCACTATAAAACAGTACTCGCTTTCTCGTTCGTAGTCAAAGGTTTGTCTGGTGTGAATGTCGCCTGTCAGGGGATCGATGGCAAAGGCCTCCTTCCTCTCTGGGTTACCGCTGCCATAGTTCATGAAGCAGGAGGACATAACAGAGTAGGTGAGCTGCCCATAAGGGCCTAAGTCATTGTCAACAGCGTGAACAGAACATACATGGGTAAATGCAGGGAGGTTCTCCAGCACAGAACAGTTAACTGTAGGAAACATGAAATATGGGGTATTGTCATTCTCATCCAACACCGCGATGAAGACAATCGTAAATGCCACTTTATGGTTTTCAGATGATTTGCCACCATCCGATGCTCTGATGGTGAGGATGTATTTCGAGTCTTTTTCATAGTCGAGAGAGTTGTTGACTACTAAGAGGCCAGACTGAGGATCAAGCTTAAGGTGACCTTTACTGTTCCCAGAAATTATATCATACCGCACCAGGCCATTGGTTCCGAGGTCGGGATCGTGGGCACTGACCTGGACCAGTTTGGTACCTAACTGGCTGTTTTCACTTACTTGTGCATGGTACTCTGTGCTGGAAAACACAGGGACATTGTCATTGCAGTCTGTTACAGTCACCATGACGACGGTAGAGCTGTTCAGTGGAGGCATTCCTCGATCAGAAACGCTCACTGTTAATGCATAGCTCTCAGTAGTTTCACGGTCTAAAGCGTTGCAAAGAACAAGCTTTCCAACATTTTTAATCTGATTCTCAATCTGAACCATTTTTACTTCCAGACAGAATCTTTTCTCCTCATTTCCCCCGGTGATGGTATAGTCCAAATAGCTATTTTCAGGGCTCCAGTCTTGGTCCTCTGCAGAAAGAGTCAGCAGGGTAGTGTCTATAGGCGTGTCCTCCGGGACGGTGAGTGTGTATATGTCCTGGTAAAACGAAGGTTCGTGATCGTTGGTGTCCAAAATCAGCACGTCTATGGAGGTAACGGTGGAGTGCACAGGATCTCCTCCATCTCTTGCTTCAACCAGAAGATGGATCAGGTTGCTGTTTGTGATGGCCTTTAAGGGCTTGTTAGTAAAAATAGACCCTGCAAAATAGAATATATTCCCATCAGTTAATGAGTTGCTTTAAAGGACCAGTTGATATTGTTGTATTGATAATGGTTCTAACATTCATGACTGTTACTAAAGGCAGTAACAGTCACAAACAGGACTATTAGCATATAATCATAGGCTTAAAATAAAGGCTAAATTAATATAAAGGCTTTATTAACATCTTTGTTTTTCAACAAGGGGAAATAACTTTTTTTTTTTTACAATACATGCCAAATATTGCAAAACTCTTTAACTCTTTGGAAGTTTAGCCCATAGTTTAGTACTTTGGTTTTGGTTTGGCCTGCAGTCTTCCCAGCTATGACCATCTATGACAGAAATACATTGCTGCATCTAATAATAAGTTTTAATATATATACTGGCAAGCACGGGAACAAAGATAAAACTTCAGGTAGTCAGTAACATGATTCAAAATGTTGTGGATCCGAATGTCTGAAACCACATGTAAAAACATGACCAACAAATCTGGTAATAATCAGATATTTTGACAACCCTTAAAACAGAACATAGTAAAACAAGAACACTGAGAGCACAACTCCACCGAAGGCCAGGGGCTAAACTAAAACTTAGATGTTTTTATTACAACATGCTGACGTCAGCCTGCTTTCATTACAATATGACGACATCAGCCTGTTACGGTGTCTTTGTGACATCACAAGGCGTTACATTGAAAACCTAAAGAGTAAGTTGTACAGCTCCCTCCATGCCCTTTCATATGATATATTACTCAAAATGGTTACTTGAAATTATTTTTCCAAGGTCAACTTTGATCTTTGGCGCTAACAACAAAGGTCAAATGTTTAGCCAACCAAGGCAGTCATGTCACCCGAGGTCTAATATGAGCTTGTGGAATTTGAAGACGATCTATAAAAAATGTGGGTAAAATAAAGTTTTACTGACTTTAGTGTGACCATGAGTTGGAACTGTTCTTCTCTCAGCTTATGGTAGCAACCGAAATGTGTATACAAGAAAACAAAGACTAGAGATAATGACTCTGCCATGGAAGAAAAATCCACAGTGCAACATGCTGGTGGGAACTTTCAAGGGTTTTTTTTGGTTATTTTGCAGTCGGTCACTTTCCCTGAATGGACTTCATCTGACCCAGGAGGAGCAGCACAACACCAGATGCTTCATTTTTCTTTGTGAAGATGGATTAACAGACTTAATGCAGCAGAATAATGATCCCAATGCACACTGGATATTTCAAGAAGCACTCGGAGACTAAGAAAGGTGGACAATCCTGATATGAAAAGAAGCTCATATCAGGAAGCAAATAAATACATGGTTATATGGTCATTTAGACCAAAATATTCTTCACTGAATTCAAAGACCTGGCCTTCAGTTTAAGAAATATACAGTTGAAGGATTTGCTCCTCTTAAGATCAGTGTATTGTAACAATCTATCAATTTATTAAGGGTTAAATCAAAACTACCGTGGTCATTAGACACAGCATTGCAACATTATTTCCATGTGCTGACTGGAAGGGCAATTTTCTTGGTGAAATGCAACAAAGTGTCTGTTCATCTAATTTATTATTCCACTTCAGTGCCACTTAAGGTTTTCTACAGGACGATTGCATTCACTCTGAGGCTCTACTCTAACAGAGACACACCGTACCACAGAAAGCACCATACTCGGCAACATTGCTGCAAATTTCCATTAGTGCATCTCACCACAAAACAGGGCAAATGCATTTCTCTGATATTAAATTTGGGGTTCAAACCTGGTAAAAGCCTGTAAATTACTCTTAAGTGAAAGAGAACTGGCCAGAACTGAGGGGAGCTGGTTTGGTTTCAGCTATGTAGGATTTATCTTCTTTCTTGGGTTTAGGGATTCTTAAAAGGGAGATAATAACACAGGCACGGCTCATCCAAAGCACTCTATCTTGCTGACTTCTAATCGGCTTTTTTTCGCTCTTGTCCAAGAACCTCACTAGCACAAGACTTCAAAAATATATTTCCACATTGCTAAAATGCTACTGGCAGAAGAAAAAGTCCAAGTATCATTTCCTGCTGTATCCTGAGCTGCTCCCGTTGGTTAAGGCATGCATGACTTTAACTGTGCAAGTAAAGATACCTTCAATGTAGAGAGCAACTCCTAAATATAGAAATCATACCACTAGACAGTCATAACATTTAATATCAGTAGAGTATGAGTATAGAGTATAGTAACTCTGGTATACTTAGATACTGCATGTGCCATATACATGTGCGCAAAGAGTATAGAGTAATCGTTTGCTGTCAGTGTTCATACATCATGTATGGGAGCACTTTCACTTTTCATGAGTTGCACCGTTCCTTACCATCCTCTGGCTGGATGTAAAAGCCTTGCAGGGGAGATGAAAGCAGTCTGTAGTTGATCTTGCCATTGAGTTCAGAATCTCTGTCGGTAGCTGACACGGACACGACAAACGTGTCTGCTGAGACCAGCTCTGATAACTCCACCTCCAAGAGAAAAACAAAGAGCAAATCACATCTGCAGAAAGTTTTCTGAATCTACTGAAAGTTTTTACTCTTTACATATTCCACCTCCTTTTCTAACTTTCATTCAATTAGGCCACGGGCTTTTAGGAAAATGATCCAATCCAAACTTTGATGAGTTATTATATATGTGGTGCTGGTATATGGTATATAAGGTGCTGTCCAGAAGAGCGCAGGCCTCTGCTAGAGGGGGGAATATTTATTTTATATCTATATATCTATATATATGGGGGAATATTTTGAGTACCACATAATTAAGATTATGAATGCTTTCAACCATCTGACTGAAAAATCTTGTATCTGCACCTGGTAGGAGTCCTGGGTGAACGCTGGAGCGTTGTCATTGACATCGAGCACTTGAACTTTAACCTCTCCATTGGTCTGGTGAATTGAGTCAGATGCCCAGACCGTCAGAGTGTACTCTGTCTGCTCCTCATAGTCCAGGGCTCGAGTCAGGGTAATGACGCCAGTATACCGGTCGATAGCAAAGGGAATATTGGTGCTGCTGTTGTCTGAGAAGCTGTAGGTGATAGTCGAGCTCAGGTCAACGTCATTTGCAGTCACTTGGGTCACCATGTATCCTGCTGGCAGATCTAGGCAGACAATAGCAGATTGTAGTTTAAACTACAATGAACTTGGATTTAAATCTTGTCCTACAAAAACTGTAAGTATTGATGTACTGAAGAGATTCTGCCATTCAAAGAAATGGAAGAGCAGTGCATTGACAGGAGTTAGGCTTACTCTCAGTTATAAGCACAGGATCCATGGGGGGAATGGCAGGGCTGTTGTCGTTGACATCTACCACTTGGACCCTAACGGTGGCGGTGCTGCTCAGTGGAGGATTCCCCCTGTCTGCTGCCTGTAGAACCAGCCTGTAATATAGATAGGTAGGAAATTAGCAAATAATACAACTGAGCTTTAGTCAAATTCTCAAATCCATTTTTCAGCTGAGCAGGCCTGTTGACTCAGAGTAAAACAGAGTTTCTTGGTTACACCCACAATCACAAAGATATAATCCTGTTTTATTGTAATGTGGAGGAGGAAAAGTTAGTCAAGTCTTATTCCTTTCTGCCTTTCAAAGAAATGGAAGACCAGTGCAGTGAAGAGGGTTAGGCTTACTGTCAGTTGTAACTACAGGCTCCATGGGTGGCTTAATTCAGATTTATTACGTTGTCTTGGCCCCTTCTTGTAAAAGAGACAAATCAGTACTTTGTAAAAAACAAAACAAAAAAAAACCCCCGCTGCTACCTTGAATCCTGAAAATCTTCACCTGTAGTCATGGTAGAAAAAAGTACGCCCTCTTTCAGTTCTAACATTTTACAAATAAAAATAAAATAAAAATGATCTGGTCCTTAGCAGGTCTTAAGATCAGATAAATACAACCTCAGATGAGCAACAACACATTACACCATATCATTAGTTATTTATCAAAACTAAGCCAAACAGTGTGTGAAAAACCTCAGCACACTCCATCATTCAGTAGCTTGTAGCACCAACTTTGGCAGCAACAACCTGAACTAATCGTTTTTGTATGACTTTATCAGCCTCTCACATGGTAGTGGAGGAAATTTGGCTCATTCTGCAATGTTTTTTCAGCTTATTGAGGTTTGAGGTACTTTGTTTGTGCACAGCTCTCTTAAGGTCCTGCCACAGCATTTCTATCAGTATGAGGTCTGGACTTTCACTGAGTCATTGCAACGCCTTCATTCTTTTCCCTTTTGCCTTTTGTTTTGTAGATTTGCTGCTGTGCTTGGGATCTATTTCCTGTTATATGACCCAATTTCAGACTTCACCTGTCAGGCACATGGCCTCATATTTGAGTCTAGCTGACTTGGTATACGAGATGCCCAGGTCCCAAATCACCACACACTTGACTATTGCTAATATGCTGTGTGTGGTTTTCACCTAACAAGACATTTGATCTTATCTGTCCAGCAGACATTGTTCCAGAAGTTTTGCAGCTCAGGAGGCAGAGTGGGTGCAATATGCCCCGTTTTGTGATTTATCTGATATTGTATTTATCCGAGCTTAAGATCTGCTAAGAACCAGATCATTTTTATTATATCCTGATACGTAAAAGCTTAGAAATGAAAGAAGGTGTATCTTCTTTTCACCAGGACTGTAGGAAGATTGTAAAATGCCACCAAAATAATTGCTGTACTACGCCAGTTAAAATGCTTTAACATTTACGAAGAAGTGAAGTAGAAGAAACATGCAACTGTAGCTGATCCCATTTTGGAAGTAGAATCAATTTTATGTGTGCAATAAAGTTTTACTTAATATTTTTTATGGAGCAGTTTGAGCATACTTGTATGATGGAGTGATCTCGCGGTCCAGTAAAACATTGGTTGCAAGGATTCCTCGTACAGAGTCCAAAATGAAAGCTCCATTAAGGTTACCAGAGAGAATGGAGTATTCAATCTGGCCGTTCATGCCGCTGTCAGCATCGGAGGCAAACACCTGTTCAAAATATGAGAAGCGGTCAGTATTAGAGGGATCACTGCATGCATCTCACATCAATGAGGGCGTTAATACCGAAAGTTTACCTGCATAATGTAGGTATTGTGCACTTGGCCCTCCCAGACAGCTGTCCTGTAGCTGCTGTGTTCAAACTGTGGTGCGTTGTCATTGATGTCCACCAGAGTGATGGAGACCCTGCAGTGAGCTGTCTGCAGCCCACTGTCAGCCAGCACCACCAGCTGGATGTGGGGGTTCACCTCAAAGTCCAGAGAGTAATCCTTCTGCACTCGGATTTCACCTACATAAGACGGTAACATGAAGGTAAAAGCTGCACTCAAAAGGAAGTACAGCTCAGTTAATATCAAGCCAATAAGGTTTATTTTTAAAAACACAAATCATAGAAATCATAATCTTAATTGACATCTTACTTCACGCCCTTCTGTGAACAGGGCCTTTTCCTCTTTGGCCTCTTTTCACCAAATAATAGAAAAGTCATGGTAAAGTAGTGGAAAGAAAAACACAGCTTTCAATCTGACAACAAAGGTGTCGACAGAAGTACTTTTAGGTTCAAGTTTTTGTGGTGAACGTTCAGTCCAACATCAGTATGAGATTGTGTATTTGACTTGGTGTGTCTGCACGGTTACTTTATGTAGACGTGAGTCAAAAAAAGGAATTTGGGGGAAAATATGATAAAATCATACATGGTTTTGAAATACTTATGTATTAAAAAATGCAGAAGGACCAGAAAAGCTGATTTTTTTTGAAAAGGGGTAATTTAGGGATAATACAAAAAACTAACAGAAAATCTAAATTGCGGGATTAGACGGTTTTATTGGTTAAAAAGTTGTATTTAGAAATTAACATTTTAATTACCAGTGTGACGGTTAATGGAGAAAACCTGGTTCTCGTCGCCGCTAAATATGGTGTATGTTATTCTTTGTCTGCTGCTGCTTTGGTCGTTGGCCTCCACCTTTGCAATCCAAGTGCCTTTAGAAAGAAAAAGACAAAAACAATGACTGAGCTGTTCAGTGGTATCGGTGAAAACAAGACAAACAGATACAACGTACCAGCTCTGCTGTTCTCCTTGACACTGGCGTTGTAGACTTTGCTTGTGAACTGCAGTCCTTCGTGTTCTCCCTTCAGATGGATAAAAACCAGGCAGGTAGAGGTCAGAGCAGGATGTCCTCTGTCTGAAACGACAACTTGCAGCTTCCTCCCAGAGAAACCCGCTCTCACTCGTCTTCTCAGCGAAATCTCTCCAGTCTCTGTGTTGATGTCAAACAGATTCTCCTCGTCTGATAACGCATAATGTATCGTCCCATTCTCACCCTGATCCCCATCTGCTGCTGTCACTGTGGTAACTATCTGGTTCGCCAGCGTCCTCATGGAAACCCACGCGTTGAAGGGAGTCTGCTCACAGACCGGCATGTTGTCGTTCACGTCCTCCACCTGTATGGTGACCGACGCCAAAGAGCTCAGCGGTCCCTGAGTGCATCCATCGGTAGCGACAGCTCTGAGGCTGTACTGAGCTCTGCTCTCTCGGTCCAGAGACCTGGTGGTGCGGATCGCTCCCGTGAAGGCGTCGATTAAAAAGGCCCCTTGGCTGTTATCATCTGTCAGGGAGTAGGTCACTTCCCCGTTAGACCCTTCGTCAGGATCCGACGCACTTACACGCAGGACTTCAGCTCCTGCGGGGAGGCCCTCGCTGATAGAGGCATGATAGTTCTTGCGGGTAAAGGAAGGGATGTTATCGTTCTGGTCCAGCAGCACCAGATGGAGCTGGGTGAAGGAGCTGAGTGGGGTGGGGCCATAGTCACGGGCCTGGATGGTGAGTGTGTAATTCTGCATTTCCTCCCGGTCAAGGACCTGTGTGGTGCTAATGGCTCCGGTGTGACTGTTGATGGTGAACCGACCTCTGTAGTCCTCACCTGCAGACAATCAGAGATGACATCAGTGGAAAGGAAATAAAGGATAATTCCACTTTAACTTTGGCCACTCGACTCAACAATGCACTTTTGATGTCTTGAAAGCAAGCAGTCAGACATTCATCCATTTAGAATTTTGCTTGCTTCATTTATCTGAAGGTCAGACTAAATGTATGCTGCTAATGGTCTCTCCAAGCAGAAACATTATATGCACACAGCTCAATATTGAACCAAGAAGTTAGTAGATAAGCTGTGCTTGTCCCTTCACTACAGACAGTTTGTGCAAGTCTTTAACTGTTAAATAAATGATATGCTCTAAAATACTGGACTACCCACAAGTTACGCACCTACAAGAGCTGCTCAGACTGCATCAGCACTCAACTAACCTGCTCTGCAACTTTGCCTGAGCTGCCACTTTATGGGAGCCAATAATGGACTTGTTGCAAAGGTGGCATCATTACAGTAGTAGCCTTGAATTCACTGAATGACGGCATGAAGTACAGGTAAAACTTTCAAGTTGCTTGAAATACAAAACAAGGTCTGATCTTCTCACCAACTATGGAGTAGTGAATGGTGCCATTTTCTCCATGATCTGGGTCAGAGGCCTGGGCGGTGTGGATGACCCCAGGAGGAAGGTTTTCCGGGATGCTGATGCGGAAGGATGACTGCATGAACTCTGGGGGGTTGTCGTTGTCGTCCAGCACAGAGCACATCACCGTCGTCGTGCTCGAAAGTGGCCGAGCGCTGCTGTCACGAGCCTGGACTGGAGATAGGAACAGAAAGGAAACGACACAGAGGCTTCCTCACCAGTTCTTTTTTAATTATTTACTAAAATATTCAAATGCTTGACACCCACAGGCTTTATAATAAGTACTGATGTTTTAAACAACAAGTGCCTAATACTATTAGCATGTTCTTTAGACCCTTTTTTCTATTTTTCTTTGGCATGTTTTAAATAGCATCCAAATAGCACCAAAAGCAAAGTGTAGCTATTGTAAACCTGATGTCTTAATGTCTGAATGTCTCAGATATGCCACACGCTGTTATTTTAATAACTCATTCAACACTAGAGTATAATTTTAAAAAGCCATGCTGTACACATTATATGTAACAATTTTACTCAAGATTCTTTCTTACAACACAGCAATGAGGCAATTATTGGCTGTGTGTCTGGACACTGTGTGGCCAGATTGGATGTTTAATAGCAGTAAAAACTCCAAAATCAGTCAACGGAAAATAATGAGACACAGCTTTTAACACATGCTGACAAGACATTTTTTTTTATTTCTTTCCAATTCATTTCAGTGTTTCCCAATAAGCCCTGTGAGATTTTGGCGTGGCTTCTAAATATTCAGGCCTTCCTGTTATTATATTTAATTACTGGGACTTTTTAATTATACTGGCAACTGTACAAATATTATGGTAAAACATGTGAAAGCATTTCACCAAACGCTGGTGAATCTGTTGAACGTAATTACTGCACGCACCCATGTGAGAGCGAAAGCAAACTCTCGAAAAGACAGAAGGGTGTAGCGGTGCAGTCAGAAGAGGTTAGCTATACTGTAGCTCAGCCCTTTAAAAGTCTTCTGTTTCCTTAACATAAATCAATCTGCTGAATAATGTTGCTTTAACGGAGAAAGTCGACCCTAAATTCTTTACGGCTTTGCCGGTGAAGCGTGACAAAGGAGAAGGTACAGAATGAAAGTATTTGTATAACCCTTCAGATGCAGGCTCTCACCCAATTATCGTTGTGAGTGTGTGGCTAAGCAAGCAAGGTCGTGATATGAAAAGAATCAAATTCCTGTGTTTACACAGCTGTTGTCACATTAGCTGGGATGTCTTTGAAACCAGTTTTCCTCAGGACATCTTGATCATAGCCATTAGTGATGCAATAACAGGGCAGCTCAACACAAACATCACCTCCATACAGACTGCCTCATCAGCAGATTGTATCTTCTGCCTGACAGGCTGTAATTGAACAATTACAGAAATTTGCACTGACTTTAAGTACTGTGCAAAAGCCTTGAGCCACCCTTATTTCTTTATATTTTGTGTCTTGAGCAATAGTTCTCCAGGTCTTTCTGGAGGTTTTTCAAAGTCTTTTTGCTAAACATTGGCTGCTTTTTCACTCATTCTCAGTTTCATTTTCCCTTTGTTTCTAGCGCCCTGCCACAAAAACACATCTCATCGTTGGTTATATCCACAAAAAATACCAAACATAACACATTTGACAGGAATAGTAATGTATTTTTGCACCAACAAGATGATTCTTAAAGACCTGTTGGCTGAAAACTTAGTGTGCACCACATTCATATAAAATCTGAGGAAACTGGAGGAAAAAAGAAGAAATGGCAAGAATAAGAAACTATCTGCAGGAGATGAACAGAATCTAAAAGTCATGTCCTTAACAAATCGGAAAACAATCCAGCAAAGACCTGACAAAGCACCTGAGAGATGTATCTGTCCCTTCAGTTGATCCATCTGCTGTTCACTAAAGCTTCATCAGAAATGGTCTTATTGGCTTTCAAGAAGCCATTCTTAAAGAATAGAAACAGGAGAAAAGGTTGAAGTTACAGAAAAACTAGAATGAAAACCAGGTCTTATGGAGTGATATGAAAATGAATTTGAAATCTTTGGCTCAAATCATCTTAATATGTGGGGAAGAAGTCAGAACAGAGATCCAACAGTGAGTGTCTACAGCCATCTGTAAAACACGGTGGAGCCTCAGTCATGGTCTGCGGCTGCATTCCAACCAGTTATGGACGTAGAAATGTACCGTCAGGTATTGTTCAACTATGCAATATTATCTGAAAAGTATCTGATTGACAATGATACCAAACAGACTGCCAATGCAGTCAAAGCATACCTGCATAGAAAAACACACCATTAAACACCATCAGTCTTGGATTGGCCTCCCCAGAGCCCGGACCTCAACATTACTGAAGCAGTGTGGTATCATCTTGACAGAGAACCGAAAAAAAGGCAGCCAACATCCAAGGAAGAGCTCTAGATGTCCTTCAACAAGCCTGGAGAATTATTCCTGAAGACTACTTAAAGAAATAGAAGAAAACTTGTCTTGTTTACACGTTTCAACAAACTCCTCCACCTATTTCCCAAGACTTTTGCCCAATGCTGTACGACTGACTGGCGCGTTTGTCACGACACTTGACAAACACAAGATTTCCTTTTACCACTGTTGTTGTATTAGATTGCTCTGATTTATTACAGAAAAAAATCCATTTTGGTGATGAGTTACTTAGTTTCTGAGCATAATTCTGATGTCTTCAGTGTTATCATTCTGGAAGTCATTAAACATGTGACTTTTACTGCATTGTTTTGCACAACTGCCGATTTTCCCTTGAGTTTGTTAACCCTGAACTTATAATTAAACTTTCTCATTTTTGTTAATAGATTCGTGCTTTACTTCTGGCTTTTGTTGTTGAAAACTGTTATTTAAAATGTTATTGCTCAGGACTAACAGATGTTTGCTTATGTGTCCTACCTCTGAGAGTAAAATGCTGCTGCTGCTCTCTGTCCAGGTAGGAGGTGGTGGTAATCAGGCCGGTGTACGGGTTGATGCTGAAGAGCTCATAGCCGGGACCCGGCAGCAGACTGTACCACACCACAGCGTTCTCCTCTGAGGACATGAACACAGGAGGTGAATGTAAATGCTGTCACAGACCTCAAAACAAATGCTCAAGCAAAAAAAAAAAAGAGGGAAATTCAGGTTTAATGGAAAAAGCAGAAATCAACTTGATCATATATCAGATAATGCTGCATAATTACAGAAATCCAGTGATTTACATTACAGATATGCTCCCCGACAAACGATACACGCTAGTTTCTCTATTGAAAAAAACATTTCCAGTTTCAAGTAGATATAAATGGCCTTAACACTGGTGAGACAAAAAATGTGGCTTCTCTAATGAGACTATGGATGTCAAAAACAACACAGTGCATTTTTATGCTCCCGATCTCCAGAAAAACCGATACCTCTAGTCGTTGAATCGTTATCTACCTCACACATTCAACTTTAGTTCAAGTCCGTTCATGTTTATTGCTGCTTCTGTTTCAGGCAGCGCTTATCTCAAGGAAAAGAGAACAATGTGGCCACTGAACTTCACAAGGCAGTTAAAACCTCAGCGAAGGCCTGCTGCTTGCAGCTTTTATGGTTCTTGTGATACGAAGCAAACGCAGAGTTCACTTCAACTTTACGTGCAAGCTGTGGTCTTGATGACCATCACAATGATGCACGTTTCACATCACGTTAGTTTCAGAAGATAGAACAAGGCGAGGAATGCGTATAGCATTTAAGGCTATGATTACTAAGATATCTTTTATGCTGATAGCAGTAAAACATTTGAATCACGGGGCATTTGCACGTTTTTGAAATTACGGTCTATTCACACACTTGTATGATGTTTTATAAGAGCATAACTCGATTACTAGACTTCTTCTGCTTAGCTTTGTTTGGTTCACTGATTTAATTTACATTGCTGTTAACTTGGTTTGCTTGGTAGGTGTCAAAACTACAAAACTCTGTCAATGTCTTCTTCATAACTCTTTTGGTGTAAACCGTGTCACTTTTGTCTCTTGTGCATAAACAACCATAAACAATTCCCACTCCGGGTACTAACAAACAAAAGTGTTCCATCAAAACATTTAAGTTTCAGCCAAAGTGCAACCCTGGCACAATGACCAAATCTTACCATCAAACCTCTTTGTAAATAATCAAACTCTTCTTTTGAACACAAAGACAGCACAGTTACTCTTTAAAAAAAAAAATCCCTCCCAAAATCTCAACTCTTGCTTAACAAAGGGAAATCCAGAAGGCTCAGAAGTTTAGCTGTCACACTCATTCACATTGCAGCTCTTCTGTGATTGACTCCAGCACATGGAAACTTACATACATAGATCATCAGAGACACAAAACAATGGTCATCTCTGGTGAGAGTTTGCAGGGAAAAAAGCAGCACAAATGATAATCAAATAAGACTGGTGGGAGAGCAGGCCGGCCTGCCAGACGAGGCGATTTGAGGAGATGGATGAGAACACACAGCGCCTATTGGCACAGATGGCTTGGATTATGGAAATCATGATGAGAGAGGACCTTTCAGATTTCCCAGAGGAGCTGTCTGCTTGCTGTTCTTGGACAATTCTCACCCCCAAGAATGTTAGTTCACATTGAAACCCCTCCTGTACAGGTCCCCCTGCCGCACGCCCTCCATCTCCAGTATTTAAAAAGAATCCTACTGTCAACAATGAGGAGACGAAACGGGATGTAGAAGGCCCCGTGCGCGATGTGTTAAAACAAACAGTGTCGATGTGTAGATTTGGGAATATGATTAAAGAGTCGGGTGAATGAGATTCGGTGGGATGTGCAATGAGCAGAGCAGACAAACCGAAAAGCATATGAGGAAAACAGCAGGGTGTGGTTTCAATTAAACTGTTAATGGAGTGAAAAAACAGCAGAGCTGAAGTTCGACAAGGAAGCTGAGCTGCATTACGGCACATGGTACGAGAAAAAAGTAATAAACATGGACTGTTGTACTTTGTCTTGCCAGGAAAAGCTGTAGTTTTGCAATTTGGCTCCTACTTTATTTTGATGCCTTCATCTTTTCATGGTTAGCGGATTTATGGTTTTAGGCTTCATGGACATGTGCTAGTGCTGCCATCTAGGTAGCTCACAGGGAAACTGCCGTCTCCACTTTAATATCAGGGCAATTTCAAACTAAATTTAAATGCTGTGAAATATAATCAAAAATT